GACACCACCACCTTTGTGACCGCTCAGTCTTGGTGAATGGGACCAGACGAGACCTCCATGGGAGAGTGCCGCAGGGGAGGTAGTGTCAGTGGCCTGTACCCAAGTTTCGGTGATGGCTAGGAGGTTGAGGGAGCGGGAGATAAAGAGGTCATGGATGGCAGTTAGTTTGTTGCAAACCGAACGGGCGTTCAGAAGTGCAACCGAGAGAGGGGGGATGCATCAATATGTGCCATTGCCAGAAGGTTTTCTGTGTCTCCCAGCACAGTCTCAAGAGCATGGAGGAGATTCCAGGAGACAGGCAGTTTCTCTAGGAGAGCTGGACAGAACCATAGAAGGTCCTTAGCCCATCAGTAGGACTGGTATCTTCTCCTTTGTGCAAGGAGGAACAGGATGAGCACTGTCAGAGCCCTACTAATGTGAATGTCTCTGACCAAACAATCAGAAACAGACTACATGAGGGTGGCCTATTGGGTCCTATGCTCCCTGGCCAGCACTATAGAGCTTGATTGGCATTTGCACACCAGAATTGGCAGGTCCACCACTGGCACCCTGTTCTTTTCACAGATGAAAGCAGGTTCACCCTGAGCACATGTGACAGACGTCAAAGGGTCTGGAGAAGCCGTGGAGAACGTTATGCTGCCTGTAACACTGTTCAGCATGACTGCTTTGGTGGTGGGTCAGTGATGGTCTGGGAAGGCATGTTCATGGAGGGATGCACAGACCTATATAGGCTAGACAATGGCACCCTGACTGCCATTAGGTATCGGGATGAAATCCTTGGACCCATTGTCAGACCCTACGCTGGTGCAATGGGTCCTGGGTTCCTCCCGGTGCATGCCAATGCCTGGCCTCATGTGGCAAGAGTGTGCAGGCAGTTCCTGGAGGATGAAGAGATTGATACCATTGAATGGCCCCCATGCTCACCTGAGCTAAATCCAATACAACACCTCTGGGATATCATGTTTCTGTCCATCCAACGCCACCATGTTGCACCTCACACTGTGCAGGAGCTCAGTGATGCCCTGGTTCAGAAATGGGAGGAAATACCCCAGGACACCATCTCATTAGGAGCATGCCCCGGCATTATCAGGCATTCATACAAGCTTGCGGGGGTCATACAATCTACTGAGTACAATTTTGAGTTGCTTCAATGAAATTGCAGCAATATGGACTGGCCTGCTGCATCATTTTTGCACTTTGATTTTTGGGGTGTCTTTGAATTCAGTCCTCTGTAGGTTGATAATTTTCATTTCCATCAAACGATGGGGCATCCTTACATTTGTAACCCATTACCCCACCCCTATCAATATAAATGTCTAGAATGATATGTTTTCCCATTGAGATCTGACGTGTTTTTGAGCAGTATATATATATATATGTATATGCCATCTCCCACATGCCAGCTCCTCTGGGAAATGTAGTTCATAGATACACTGCTCCTTAGTAAAGTCCTGAGGTTCAGCATACAAGTCCCTTGGAGTGTGAATGTCACTGTTCTGCAGGACACTGCCATCTTGTGTTCTCTTTAAAATCCTGCATCAAACACTTCTAACAGGGTGTTACATGTATATTACTTTCTGACAGGTAATGACATCACTAACATATGCTGTCATGAGTGGAGGTAAGAGAGAGGAACCACTGAGAATTGCAGGAGACCAACCTTCCTTGAAGTGTAGGCTTATTTGTGGCCTTCAGAAGACGTTTGGTACTGAGCGGAGATGTGTTCAGCAGTGCAGACGGCAGACAAAATTATTATTTACACTATTCTTTTACAAATATGAGTTTGGAAAGATTTAATAACAAGACCACTTCAAGGTCATGGAAAACCAAAGCTACATGTCTATAATGGATGTATAGAAGAACATTACTTTTAGCATACAAAAGTACGATGCTGCTGAGTTTTTTCTGCCAAGATACCGCAGTGTGGTCCCAGAGCCCATTCTTCCTGCTTACACTGCTAAATCTCTGCATTTTGTGGTGCTGTTCAGTTTATTAAATTGCATTTATTCAGAGTATGACAGTATAGAGTAAATAATGATGTAGCGTTATAGCAAGGAAAATCATCCGTAACCCATCACTGCCACATCACACACTGATTCAGAATTAGACAAATTTACAAAAGACAGAGAATGGCTGGAAACAAATCAAAGCAATTTCTTCAGCTCATCAAGCAAAGCGTTGGAAACGGGGGGAAAACAAAGTATATCTGTGAGCATGAGACACTATTGATCTTATTTTTTGGCAAGCAAAACCAAGCTCTTAATATCTCCATTACATATCTCGGAACATATTTCTCAAATACTGAGATTTGTTGAGAAACAAAAAGTGCTAATGTCATCAAATCCACATACTGTATACATTGATAGATTGGGGCAATATTGGTTCCTTTGAAAAGGATACTGTGTGGAAGGAAACATAGGGCCTGCAATTGTTGAACTGATTCGAATTTAAAGGTTGACAAGGAGAGATTAGACAGTGAAAGGTCAATGATGGACATGCCAAACTTATATAAAAATCTACATTTTATTAAAGTCTTGGGACTGATAGGGATACAGAGAATCATGATAGTCCTTAGATCAGTGGTTCCCAACCTGGGGTAAGAGTACCCCCAGGGTTAAGTAAAGAGAAAATTGAGGGGTGGCTGTTTGGGGCATTTGGGAAACAGGGTTACTAAATAATATGCCTGCTTTCACCAATACTAGACCTGTAGCCTCTACAGCTGGTGCTGTCATTGCCTGGCAAAGTGATATGCCCTCCACCTCTTTTAGCTGCTCTCATCTGGAATCTTGAGCAATGAGGAAGCAGCATGGGGCAGAAATTTTGATGAGGAGTCCTGTGCCCTGTGTGTCAGGCCCATAGCCCTGTATCCTGGGTCAATAGTCCTGTGTCCTCAGTCCATAGTCCTGTATACTGAGCTCTGTGTCCTGAGCCCATAGTCCTCTGTTCTGAGCCCTATATAAAAAGTCCAGTGTTCTGAGTCTAGTGTCTTGATTCCAGCATCCTGAATCCAGTATCTTGAGTCCAGTGTCCTAATTCCAGTGTCCAATTCCAGTGTCCTGATTCCAGTGTCCTGAATCCAGTGTCCTGAATCCAGTGTCCTGAATCCAGTGTCCTGAGTCCAATGTCCTGATCCAGTGTCCAGAATTCAGTGTTCTAAATCCAGTATCTTAATCCAGTCCCAGTCCAGTGTCTTGAGTCCTGAATCCAGTGTCTTGATTCCAGTGTCCTGATTCAAGTGTCCAGAATTCAGTTTCCTGAGACCAGGGCCCTGAATCCTGTGCCATCATTTCAGTATCCTGAGTCCAGTGTTCTTAATTCAGTGTCCTGAGTCCAGTGTTCTTAATCCAGTGTCCTGAGTCCAATATTTTGATTTCAGTGTCCTGAGCCCAGTGTCTTAAGTCCAGTGTCCTGAATCCAGTGTCTTGAGTCCAGTGTCTTGATTTCAGTGTCCTGAGTCCAGTGTCCTATGTCCAGTGTCCTGAATCCTGTGTCCCAATTCCAGTGTTGTTAATCTATTGTCTTAAGTTCAGTGTCTTGATTTCAGTGTTCTTAAACCAGTGTCCTGAGTCCAGTATCCTGTCTCCAGTGTCCTGACTCCAGTGCTTGAGTCCAGTGTCCAGAATTCAGTGTCTTGATTCCAGCATTCTGTGTCCAATATCTTGATTCCAGTGTGCTGAATCCATTGTCTAGAGTCCTGTGTCCAAAATTCAGTGTCCTGAGTCCAGTGTCCTGTATCCTGTGTCCAGAGTCCAGTGTCCTGAATCCAGTGTCCAGCTTTCAGTGTCCTGAATCCAGTATCATGAGTCCAGTGTCCTGAGTCCAGTGGTCTTAATCCAGTGTCCCATATCCAGTGTCCTGAGTCCTGAATCTAGTGTCTTGATTCCAGTGTACTGATTCAAGTGTCCAGAATTCATTTTCCTGAGTCCAGTGCCCTGATTCCTGTGTCTGAGTCCAGTGTCTTGACTCCAGTGTCTTGAGTCCAATGTCCTGAATTCAGTGTCTTGATTCTTGTGTCTGAGTCCAATGTCCTGGGCCCAGTGTCCTGAGTCCAGTGTTTTGAGTCCATTGTCCAGAATCCAGTGTCCTGAGTTAAATGTCCTAAGTCCAGTGTCCTGAGCCCTGTATCCAGATTCAAGTTTCTCGAGTCCAGTGTCCTGAAACCAGTGTCCTGAGCTCTGTGTCCAGATTCAAGTGTCCTGCATCCAGAATCCCAAGTCCAGAGAAGTCGGAGGAGTCCTGAGTTCTTGCTGCTGGTCTGGCTGGCAGGGATAGAGCCTGGAGAGGAACTAAGACATACAGGGTGAATTTAAGATGGCCCTAACAACAGTTTTTTGGCATTAGTCCCTTTACCTAATTCAAGCAAGCATTTATGCCAGTGTTGGTAACAGTTCTGACATTTGACAAATTCAGATATTTCTTACTACAGCCACGTTAAGAATCTATCTCTATGGCAGTGAAAATTCTTCAATTATTACTGCCAGTTCTCTGCTTAGGAAGCTGACAATAATTAAGACCAACTCTGATCTGGTTACCCCAGTACTCATAGTGGACCATGCCTGCTCTGAAAAGCTTCCCAAAAAGGGCTGCATCCCCTGCCTTATACTGTATAGATGATGGTTGAGAGATTCCTCGGCCGAAAGCTAAATAAAAACAAAGGGGCCAGGGATACAACTGGTGTCATTTCCTAAATCTGCCCAACTTTGGGAAATGACTTGTCAGTGAGCGGGTGGAGCCTGACGAGGAACCGACTAGTTCCCCATCAGGTCCGCTTCACTTTTGAAACACAGCATACAGCAGTGGGCAGATCTCAAAGCTATTGGACTGAATAATGGCTATGGATCCGCTCACTCCTATGTGCTGTAAATTGAAAGTGGAGTGGGTCTGATGGGGAACTAGTTTCTCAGTTCCCTATAAAACTCCTCAGCCATGTGTCTGTCAGTCTGATGAGCACAGTGGCCGAAGAGGAAGGATAGGAGTGAGCAGGGGCGGACTGACAACTCATGGGGCCCCCAGGCAATAAGGGATCATGGGGCCCCTGTGTCCTTGCCCAAACTAAAAAAAGCCTATGAAAAAGGTACCAGGGGCATCTCATGGGGCCCCCTACTTACCCCAGGCCCTCGGGCAGTGCCCGAGTTTCCAAATGGTCAGTCCGCCACTGGGAGTGAGTACACTGCGGAAGGAATGTACAGTGTGGATCTGTGACAGGTACATGAATTGGGTGCAAGCACAGACACCTTAGGCGCTGCACCCTGATGTAAATCTAAAGAGGACCTTTCCGTGAGTACCGAACGTGTGTGCTGGGAGCACACAGGGCACGCGCTCTCAGCACATATGTTTTTTCTAATAGAACGGAAATGTGCCGCCGCTCCACGTCTAGGCCCAGACACTGGGAGGCCGCACATTTGCATTTGGCTGGCGCCAAGAGGTTAAGGAACACATATATACCCAATAAAAATAACATAGACTCATGGGCAGCACAGTGGCTAAGTGTTTAGCACTTCCGTCTAGCAGCATTAGTGTTATTGGTTTGAATCCTAACCATTACACTACCTGCCTGGAGTTTGCATGTTCTCCCTGTGCCTGTATGGGTTTCCTCCCACACTTCAAAGACCTGCTGGTAGGTTAAATGGCTCTATTATGTATACGTATGAATGTCAGTTAGTACCTTAGATTGTGAGCTCCTTGAGGGTTAGGAACTGATGGGAATGTACAATATATGTATGTAAAGAGCTGTGTAAATTGACAGCACCATATAAGTACTTTTATTAAATAAAATTACATAGATAATATGATAAATATCACACAGGTGATACTTCCCTGTCAAGGAGCAGGTACTGTACTATAAATCAGATGTTATTTCTGCTACCTAATGAGGAAGTCTTTGCAAAAATAGTCGGTTTCACTACACTGTACTTATTCTGGATTATCGTTGTTTTAAGGCGTTAACCACTTCCCAACCGGCCGTTGCATATAAACGGCCGGACGGTGGCAGTGCAGGGTCGGGTGGCTGTTTATAAACGGCCTCCCCGCACCCTACTTGTGCGCGCTCCCTGGGAGCGTGCAGCACAGCGATCCGGTGCCCGCTGTGTCCTCCGGACACAGTGAAACACTGATCGTCGGACGGGACCTCTGAACGAGGTCCCGATCATGTGATCACTGATTGGCCAATCAGTGATCACATGCAAAGTAGTAAGCAAGATGTCACTTGTGACATCATTGCTTACTATGTGTGAAATCTGTGAATGATCACAGAGGTCACATGCTACAAGGCTATTCACAACAGCCTTGTACCATGTGACAAGCTGTGACCAATCACAACTCACTCAGTACTTCTCAATGAGTGCAAGAATGCACACAGAGAGAAAGAGAAATGGTTGCTTTTACATCCTATATGGAGACACCATGGTGACACTGTACTGCTAGGGTGACAGTATGTAAAAAAAAAATAAAAAAAAAAATAAGAATATAAAAAAATAAAATAAAAATGTAAAAAAAATGTTTAAAAATTATAATTTTTTGTTATAAACTAATTTGGATTTTTTTTTTACTAAAAAGATAACAGAATAAATTTTGGCAAAGATTTATGATGAAATATTATTTATTTGCAAAATTTTATAAAAAAAAACACTTTTTTTCAAAATTTTTGGACTTTTTCATTTACATAGCAAAAAAAAAAAAAATCCCAGCAGTGAATAAATACCACCAAAATAAAGCTCTTTATCTGTCTCAAAAAAATTGTAAAAAATTCATTTTGAGTACAGTGTTGCATGACTGCGCAATTGTCATTAAAAGTGTGATAGCGCTGAAAGCTGAAAATTGCCCTGGTCAGGAAGGGGGTAAAAGTGTCCGGTCTGGAAGTGGTTAAAGGGCTTTGAGTGGTTCTTGAGAGTCTTTTGTTAATGGTGCTTTTTGTTTTTGGGTGTAGTTTGTTGTTATTTGATGCCTTTTTCACAAAAGGTGAGAAAAAAAGCATCTTGAAAAAATTAACTAGACTGCACTTCTAATTCATTTATTTATTTTTTTGTATTTCACTGTTTCTCAATTTTTTTTCATATAAAACAGTACAATGAAATGTGCACTGTTAGGCTCCTAATGAAAGTGTAATTCAGCTTTTGTTGAGTAAAAAGCAGTCCCCTCTGGGTCACATTCTGACAGGGAAGGTCTGGTTCATTATAATCACCTAGTGCATTCTCAGTGTTTCTTCAGTGTTGCAGCATTCTGAGAAAAGTTGCACCATTGCATCAGTTACAAAAACATGACCCATTTTTTAAATGGCCAAAGTATTTTTAACCCTTAACGAAACCAAAGAATTGGGAGTATCTCACCAAATGTGAAATTATACCTATCGCAGAGGGTTGCCTAAAATTTGACTTGGGAATATCCACCGGGCCCCCCATACCACGGATTATTGTTTTCCTTCCAAATAGACTTCAACCGGAACCAACATAAAAAAATCCGTGATTTGTGTCATTTACACAAACAGAAAATTCAAGCTCTGGTCCTTTCTAGTGACGTGCAACCCCCCCTACGGTTTATATAGCACTGCTTTACTTGGAGAATGTTCCCTCCAGGCTGTCCATTCAATTTTACTTTAGAATATTTAAAATCAAAATGAAAACAGTTGGCTTGCAGATCGAAAATCCGTGGTCATTTACACAAACAAGTGGTGTTTTATATAGCACTGCTTTTTGCCATTCAATTTTACATAAATAATTGGCTGCAGATCGAAAAGGAAAGGTACTTTTTAACATTACATTCAAATAAGATTTGTCTAGCAATTGCTATATTATTATTATTATTTTTTTTTTTTTCGACAAATGTAGAGTAATCCTTTAAATTTGGGTCTAAATTCATTGTATTTACAGATACTGTTCCTCTTTAAGAAGTTGATGTTCTTTTCTGTTTTTCATATCCACATTGGCGTATGTCCATTACAGAAATAATTTGTTTTAGAGCTTGAAAAAAATATTTAGCATGTCACCATTTCATTTTTGTTTCCATGGAGCAAATTATATTGTGCATTATTCCATAATTATTTTTATTGCATGTTGTAACAACATGTTAAAAATCACAAAATGTAATTATGCACTAACCTTTTGCAAGTGACGCACTTTCAATCAGCCTTCCCCTGGGAGACAAATTGACTTCCCAAAATGATTATATAATTAAGCTTGTGTGTTGAAAGGAAAAAGCAGAAAGCACTGACACATCTCGGAATGTGAACAGTTCCCATAGCTGGAAAAGAGCAGCATTGTGTGTGATCAAATTAGATATTGAAATATAAAATCTATTTGAAAGTGAATGATGTGCCAGAGTTATTACCAAACCACTTGCCTCCGGAAGCCATTCTTTTAAATAATGCCTGAGGTCGCTAGGGGGGCTCTTGGTCATGCAGCACAGGGACGACCTAATCGGGAGCCCATCCTACCAGCTCCCAGTTATCAGTAGTTGACCGTGAGCTTTCAGGGACACCTCAGTCTCCATTCTGAGGGAGCCTATAGAGCGTGCCTTGGAACAACACAGCACCACATACTGTATATTGTAGCACCCCTCTAGATAGCTAGGGGAAGCTAGCTATTTTTCTTTAGTTAGGAAGGCTGAGAAGCAGCCTAGGTAATAGTCAGCTGGGTCCAGGGGCGGACTGACCATTTGGAAACTCGGGCACTGCCCGAGGGCCCGGGGTCAGTAGGGGGTCCCATGAGATGCCATTGGTACCTTTTTCATAGGCTTTTTTGAGTTTGGGCAAGGACACAGGGGCCCCATGATCCCCTATTGCCCAGGGGCCCCATGAGTTGTCAGTCCACCCCTGGCTGGGTCAACCTTACGTCAGGGCTGAGAGTCTCTGCAGGTAATTTCCCTGACATCTCCCCCTACTCTAGAATCTTGGTGAAGATTCTAGAAGCAGTGGGTAGGGGTGAGGAGGTGCACACTTAGAGGACTCTGGCCAATCCCCAAGCAGGATGCTTGGCATGGGGCCAGGGCAGCCTTTAATTGTGGCTGAGCCTGCCCAATAGCAGGAGAGTTCGGGTGGAACACTTGAAAGAGGAAGACATGCAGGAGCCTGGGAAGGGGCCCAGTGGGAAGGAGCCTACAGGCCGAGACCTGGAACAGAGGATCACTTAGCCTCACCAGTCCCTGGAGGGAGGACCACCTGTGGAGCCAAGGAATGAGCCAGCCCAGCTAAAGGTTTGAAGGCAGTCACCAACCCAATCAGCTTACAGGCATAGAATAAGTGAGTAATCCTACACCCCCTGGGCTAGTAAAGATGAAAGAGCATTATGGTGGGAAACCTGACTAGCTCCTTACCAGGGACTGTTCAACTTGAAGTGACAGGCACTGGATCCCCTTGTCCAGGGACTCCTCCAAACAGCTGGGTAAAGAAGAGGATTTATCTGGGGTCTGGGGTGGTACACCCCTTACCCCATCCAAGTTCAATACCCCCGATAACACGAACAAAAAACAAGCTCAAGGACTGCTAACTGTTTCTGGAATACACGTCTGTGGAAAATACGTGTTTCCTGGCTCTGCAGGTCTATAGGGGGACCAAAATCTTTAGCAACTTCTAAGGGGGTTTAGCTATAGTAATAAGCAGCTAGGTGTTAAGACCCCCCCACCCCCCTCCCCCAAATCCCTGACCTCTCTAAAATTGTTTCTAAGGTAACCTATAGTGACTGCAATCCTTGTGTTCCTGTGGAGCCCCTTAGGACTCTCCTCATAGAGGAACAACATTGGCAATGGAGGTGCTCAGCAACTGCTGTCAAGTTTAGCGCTGCACTTTTTTTTACACACGTTTACATTGGGACCGTTACCTATAACCTGAGTGCCAGCAGCTTCTAAAATAATTATTTACATTTTTATAATTATTTATAATTATTCATGTCTGTTTTCAATTAGCGTTCGCTTACATATTCTTTTGTATTTAACTTCTGTCAAGTTGTTTCACCAGGGGGAGAGTTCAGTACTGATTCTAATACAGATCTGTATACCTCTATGATGTCACTGTTTTCTCTGCGTCCATCCACGTTTTATCCTGTATTGAGCCTTAATGAAAAGGAAATGTTGTCGCCTCTGAAACGCGTTTTTTTTTATATGACTTATTTTACTAACAATTCAAATTATCTTGGACTCTTTCATCTGGTTTTGGTCTGGTGCTCCTTTCTCTATTTCTTGGGTTTGAGCCAGGGGCGGACGGACAACTCATGGGGCCCCCGGGCAATAGGGGATCATGGGGCCCCTGTGTCCTTGCCCAAACTCAAAAAAGCCTATGAAAAAGGTAC